CCCCTGTGTAATGACAGGAATAAAATTAAAAGAAGTAAATGTCTCAGGAGTGTCTAGGGAAAACCCAAAGACAGCGGGGAGATGAAAACAAGGACACACAGGCGGCTTTAGCCTCTCGCACCAATAGCTATAGCAAACTACACACAGCCCAGCCCCAGTAGATAAACAGAAAACCCCACAGAAGAAACTATTTATTTTGGTTTTCTTACCCAATGCATTCCATGGTGCATCCTCGCCTAGAATTGAGTGAAAGCAAGTCCATCTCAGAAGGGACATAACTGAAGAGGGATGGCTTTCCAGACTCTGAAGGGCAGAGAGAGCACCAGCCCGGTTTAGAGAAAGGTGAGGGGTGGGGTAGGGGGTGGGCTGCCTTCTTCCCCAAATAAGGAACCTTCCTGGGGCCAGCACAGTGGGAGGGAGGGCCATGGGGTGGGAGCAGCCAGACCTCTTCCTGAGAAGTTATAGGATGCCTACAAGGGACCATTCAGGTACCCAAACTGGGTCCTGACAGTGGGAGCCAGTCGGTCTGCTTCAGAGCCCAGGGCTGAGGTGGGCGCACAGTAGGCCGGTCGAAATGTTACAGAAATGACAGGCCAGCCAAGAAACAAGTACCACTCGAAGGGTTGGAGTACTCAAATTTATTACACCGGCGGGCTCAGAGGGGCTTCTGCTCCGAAGCTCTGAGCACCTCCAAGAGGTGAACATGAGGTTTTATAGGGTTAATTACAAGTATGGGGCTATTAGCCAATAAGATTCAAACAACAAAAAGCAAGGAATTAGTACACTGGAGCTTATCAACTTGGAACAGATCACGTTACTGACTATTGTTGAGCTTGGATTTATGTGTTAGCTTGTTAGCCCAGTAAACTGACACTAAACTTTAGATTTACAAGTTAGCCTGGCAGAGCTTATATCAGTAAACTGACAATTATCACACTTAGATTTGTGACTGAGCTCGTTAGCCCAATAGACTGACACTAAACTTCAGATTTATGAGTTAGCCCAGCAGAACTCAGATCAGTAATCTGACACTTGTTACACTTAGATTTGTGACTTAGCTTGTTAGCCCAGCTGGGCTTTTCCTTCACATTACTTGGCCGGATCCATTTCAATTCTCCGAAGCCCTGTGTAAAACATGAAGCATGAACGGCCTGGTGAGTACAGCTCTGCCCTCAAGACCGGTTTCAACTCATCTCTTCCCAAAGAACAGCATCTCTGAGCCCGTCCTGGGTGACCTCACAGAGATCACCCTAGTCGCCCAGGCTAGTGACCGGGAACATGTACCTTCCTGCAGCCAACCCCAGACGTCCACTGATGCATCATATACTGGCAAAGATGTGAGTCCCTGTGCATTGGTCTAAAGGCAGAGGCTCTGAAACAGGCCCAAGAGGTGGTGTGTGGGACATGCAGGGGTGCAGGAGTATACGAAGTTCAATGGTGTAAATGGTGGCAGGGGTGCAGGGGCTTTGGGGGTGCAGGCAGTTCAGGGGATGCGGGGGTGCAGGCAGTGCAGAAGTGCAGAGTGGCAGGGGTGCAGAGGTACAGGGAGTGTAGGGGTGCAGGGAAGTGCTCAGGCAAGTGCACATCATCATAGTCAGCCTGACCACAGGAGGCTAGTGCAATGGTTTGGGGCGGCGGAGGCGGCGGCGGCGGCGGAGGTTGGGGGCTTCCCAGGGAAGCCGGTCGATTTCTTCTCTTCCCTGCAGCGTGGCCTGGGGGTGCCTTGGCCGCCGGAGATTCGCCAGATGTTGGTCTCCAAGTAAGCTTGCTCCTGGTGAGGTGGGGCGGTTAGGTCAGCGGGCGGCGGCAGCAGCAGATGGGCTGAGCGGAGCTGCCACTGGCGAACTGGTGGAATAGCTGCGTTGTCCCGGCTGCCGGGCCTGGGAGCGGCGTCTGCTGCCCCAGGTCGCCGGACACGCCTGTCCCACTCAGCTTGCTGAGTGGGGAGTGGGGGCGGTGTCGTTAAGGTGCGGGGCCCACGGGGGGAGGGGGGCTGCCGCGGGGGAGCCGG